ACAGGTCGGGGGGCAGGCGGCGGCGGCGGCCGCGGGGGGAGCGCGCCCTGCCCAGCCCTGCCCTGCCTTCCTCTTCTCTGTCGGGGAATAAGGGAGCCTGGGGGCGGGAGGGGACCTCTGGTCTGAACCCCTGCCTGAGGCAGGACCCCTTGACCAGGTCCCAAGGAAAAACGTGGGGGAGGAGGGAGACAATGATAAAAAATACCCCTTACGCTGGGGGCGACATGGACGAGGGGAGGGGTTGCTGTGCCAGCAGACCTCCCCGGGCAGGTAGAGCCGCAGCTGAATAAGTCACGGTGCAGGGCTGTGTTCGCATGCTCGATTTCTTTTTTCTTCTCTTTTCCTGGCATCGATAGTGATGTTGGTCTGAGGAATGGGTTGATTTTGTTGCTTTCCTGTGACCCTAAGCAACAGATATATTTTAACGGCGGTTTTCAAGCATCGACCAAGATTCGGTCCCGCCTAATATCTTGCTCGCTCACGGTGTTGGAACTCACCATTGTAAAGGTGTTTATCTGTGGTACGAAAGGGTGTGTCAAGCCATATTAGCCAAATACAATTGGGTAACTTGATCTAAAAAGCACTTTTTTTTTCCCCCTCCTCTCAGCAAATGCGAGTGTGCCCGCACTCGGGAACTTGTTTTCTTTCATTTGTGGAAGCTGCAATGCAGGCTTGGTATGGGCATTTTTACCAGCGTGCTGTTTAGTTTGTAACAGTCTGCGCCCTGCCTATTTTTACCGCTTCCATCTTTCCTGATGTTAACTGTGATCGGGGCATAGATATATTTGAAGGCGGTGTAGATACTAAAGGTATCAGCAGCTTCTGTCATAGGTTGTACTAATAATTTGAGAGTTTCAGAAAACCAGTGTAGATAAGAGTCCATTGGTGTAACAGCTCTTGGGTGATTAAAATGAAAAGTGCTGTTTTAAGCATGTCTATAGCTATAGTTGCTCATAACCTTTTTCCACTTCTATGTTTTCATTTAATGTAATTGGAGATGGACCTTTTTTCTGTTTTGTTTTGTCTAAAAATAAAAACCCCTTTTTCATCAGCCCTAATGCGTATGAATCAGCTTGGTGTTTCAGGCCACCAGTTCTGAGATACAAATGTCCTGTTTGAATGAGAACAAAACTGAATGTTATCAAGGATGTTATACGCATGCCCTTTTGGTGTTTTGGAAGAGGCGTAAGTTGTTAGTGAGTGATGAGAACATCTTAAGCTCTGTACAGACGCGTGATATGTCAGTGGGTGTCAGGGTCTGTCACTGGGTCTGCTTGTCTCTGTTGCAAGTGATGTAAAGAAGCAAAGCGTCTTGCTTAAGCACATTTTTGCAGGAATGTTTGTATTCCTTTGCTGGAAACGGAGAGATCCTCTAATGAGCAGTTTTGCTGTGTCCTAATCTACACTGGAGAACTTAACCAAAATTGCAACTGATGTATGCATGTGAGCAGAAGCCTATTTCAGACCACAGCATGCACTTGCTGGCAGTACAGTTCAAGTGAGATGCTATAGAATGGATATTTTCAGAAGGATGAAGAACTTTTTAGAATCAAAGAATATTTGCAGTTGTACTTGTTTCACTGGGCACATCAAATCTCATTCTTTTGAAATGCAAAGTGATTACAGTATCAGTTGTAGAGACTTTTATCTTTGTGTATGGTAGTGGGCAACAAACCAGTATAGGTTTCCTTGCTTTATATGGGTTCTGTATGTGCGAATTTGCTCTTATGGGATGACCCTTTTTATACCAAAAATTTATTATATGTGAGGTCAATTCACTCTTATGCTGCTTTGCGCAGTGCATTGTGGGAGTGACACGCACCAAAATGTAGTCTACTGTGTGGATCTTTGCTCATTGTCTGCAACACTTATTTCTGTAGTTGTCATCCCCATTATGGTAGTGCCATGTACTTGTGTGTACTGTCTGCTTTTGGTGAGTACCAAAATTGTCTTGTAAAAGTGGTAGAAATGGTCAGTACAGTTGAGGTTTTGGAATGTATCCCTATTTATTGCATTGTAAAGTGGGTTCCCTTTACGTGAATTTGAGTTATGCGCCGTTTTCCAGGAACACGTGTACAGTATAAAGCAAGGGAAACCTGTACTGTGAGGTTCCTCTCCCCACTCCTGCCCTCCCATCTAATATGGTGCTGAACTAGTTTCAATGTTCTCATAAAATGTGGTGTGGCTGTTTGTAGCTCATTGGATTACTGCTGCAGCGAGTTATCACATAAAGATAGCACTGGGATGCTGCAGGGCAAGAGTAGTCAGAATTAGTCTTTCTGTAGTAAAGCAGATGACTAACATTTCTCAAAAGAGTGTAATTTAGTGTAGTTCTAATCTAAAAAGGAAATAGTCAGCAATGCATCTAGCATATAGGTGGGAAATGTACTGTGCTTTTCCCCTTGTAAAATGGGGATGCTCTGCTGTTCATGTTTTAATAAGTGCTTTAGTTCTCAATTAGCAGGTAACCCCTTTCTCTTCTGCAGCCCACCTCTTTAAGCATTTTTTTCTTTCTTCTTTGAATGCCCATCTTCTTAACCTTGCCTTCCTAGGAGCTTTTCTCTTCTGTTTTGTTGTTGTGCAGCTTATCTAATAAGAGTAAAGGAAAGTAATTTTTATGTTCAACTGCAAAAATAATATAATGATTTGGGAAAGCATATAAACTGATGAAATTATCTAATTCTTGCTCAGAAACCTTACCCACTTTGAAACAGAAATAGTGAGAGCTTTGCCAAGTATGTGGAAAATTATGGGCCAGGCTTTCAGACTCTTATCACTTACCTGTAGTAACTACCATTGGATGCAATCATAATTTAATATACTTATTTATATATACATGTGATTTAGGAAAACTTAGCCCTTTATCTGCCATATTACAATAATGTCAGACATACAGTCCTTTTAACTCTGGCACTTTCTTTTATCTCACTAAATTGCATTAAACAATAGCCTCTGGGGAAATTATAAAATAAAAAGGAATAAAAGTATAATGTGAGAAATTCTTTTGTTGTTGCTATTTCAAATTTTATGGGAAAGTGTTTAAAGAAAACCAAAGAGAAATTCTTGCTGATGTCACAAAGAAGCTTGCGTTGTTGATGTGAAGGAAATTCCTCCTGCCAGTTTTTATTTACTTTGTATGCAGGTGTGATTGAGATAAGAATGCAGGTGATTCATTCTGCCTTACTCTTGGCTAATATTACCATAATTAGAATATCTACAGAATGGAGATATTTGCAGTGAATCTTTTTATTTGAAACTTGCAAGAAGGGTGGAGTGTTGGAGTTCAGAAGGTATACAACAAGGGGTGCACTAATAGAGATTTTTGGGACCGATAGCCGATTTTTAAGGAGGCATGTCGGCTGATACTGATCTGATTTCCGATACCAGCCCGGCAGCTTAGAGAGCTGCTTGCAGCTGGTAAGTCTGGTGTGGTGGAAGGGGCGGAAAGGGTTGTGGGGGGACAGATAAAGGCTCCCGCAGTGAGGGAGGTGTGGGGCTGGGGCAAGCACAGCCCAGCCAGAATGGAGCCGTGGTTCTGGCTGCTGCATGCTGCTTGTGCAGGAGCCACTGATCCGGCAGTTCCCACTGCTGCTTCTGCTGTTTGTCCAGCAGGGCATTGGGGGTGGGGGGGCATGTGCCCCTGGATCTGCACAGGGTGAGGCAGGATGGGAGCAGGTGAGCGCCGGACCAGCAGCACACAGTGGAGGGAGCCACCCCTGCCCCCTTCCCATGCCCCCCAGATGAGCCATGGCTTCGTCCTGCGCCTGCCCTGACTGGGCAGCACTTACCTCAGCCCCTACCAGGCTGTTCTCCTCGCTGCTGGGCTGCACTCCTCTCCAAGCTGCCAGGCTGTGCTTCTCTCTGCCTACATGCTGCACTGCGGCTGTGCGCGTGCACGGGCATTTATCGGCCAAATCATCGTCCACATCAGGCCGATTTTCTGATACGATCAATTTTCTTTATATCGGTGCTGATCTGATACCAGACTGATATATCAGTGCACCTCTATATACAACTGTTTTGCTGTGCTCTGTGTTTGGTGCTATGAGCAAATAATAGGGTCCTTGTCTCTATGGAGTTATGACAGGCTTCTAAGTGAATGCAAATAAAAGTTTTGATTACGTTCTTTTGGTGAATAAAAGGGAGATGAAGATTGACTGGGGCATGATAAGAGGCCTAATTTCCAGGAAGGCAAATTCAGTCTCACTTATTCAGTATGGACCTAAGAAATATGTGGTATACTACACAGGGGGTATACCTTACCCTCAGGGCGGAGGGGGGCTTGGGGAGGATATAGCCACCTGAAAACTTGCCTTAGCCCCCCTGTAGCCACCCCTCCTAGTACCACTACTGCCTGCCCCACGCAGCTGAGCCTACAAAGGAATGGTGTTCCTGGCAGGGGCAGTGCCAGCCTCTTCTCGGGCGTGGGGCTGGGGCCGGGCTGGAGCAGGGTGGGCTCAGCTGTGCAGGATGGGTGGTGGTGCTGAGTGGGGTGGCTGTAGGTGGACTAAGGTGAATTTTGGGGTGGCTGTAGCCCAGGGGTGGGCATTTATTTTGGGCAGACAGCCGCTTGCTGAGTTTTGGCAAGCCATCAAAGGCTGCATGACAGGCAGCCAGGGGCAGATTAAAATTAATTTTTCTAAGTTTTTTAGGGGCCTCATGGGCTGGATAGAATATCCTGGCGGGCCGCATCCGGCCCACCCCTGCTATAGCCCCTCCCCAGTAGGAAGAAGCTGTGGCCCCTGGGCTTGGGGCAGCTTCTTGAGCCTGAAACATGGTGGTGTATCTGGGGTCAGGCATCTGGCAGCCCCAGCATAATTAATTATCGGACAACATTATCAGCTTCAATGGCAAAAAAAAAAAGCCAATAGCCAATTATGTTAATTTTCCTTTTATCAGTGCTGATCCAATACCCAACCGATATATCAGTGCACCTCTTAATATGTTTAGGTTCCTAACTTCTCAGTTGAAATCACTGGGGGCACTTCACATGTTTGGTGCATTAATTAGAGTAGCTCCATCCTAATTAAAGTGCTACCATGTCTCATGTATCAGTGTCCCTGTATTTAAAAATGGCAGTGAGGGCATTTGAACTAAAGCTTGTTAGCCCCCATTTTTAAGCTCGGGGATGCTGATGCATGAGATGCAGGAGGTTGGTGCAGCGTGTTAATTGCCACATTCCAGCTGATTCAAGTGCACTGAAGCAGCCTCTGTGCTTGTGTACAGGCACGAGTTTAGACAACTAACTACCTTCATGGCACTCCCATTTGTCTCTTCGGATCAACCTATACAAAGCAAGATCCTATTGTTTACACTGACAAACTATCACTTTTAAAAAAATTTTGTGTAGACAAGGCAAGTTTTCGTTTAAAAATGCTAGCTATTGGCTTTTTAAAACAATCAGTCTTCAATCTTTTTTTTCTGGTTCTCATCCTTTTAGACAGTCTTGCCCCCACACATTAGTTTGCTTTAACTCTGCCCTGCCTTTTACTGTGTAGGAACAGTGCCTAGCTCAGTTGGATGCTTTCCTGATTTGGTCTGTAGGTAGTACTGTTATACAAGTAAAGAAAGAGCTTCAAATGTAAGGAGCTGAGGAGGGTACATGGTTTTGACTCTGAGGAGAGTATCTGGATTAGCAAAACGCATATTAGCTACAATTATCACAGCTCCACTAATTGATGTGCTTTTTATCATCAAGATTCAATTGTGGCCATCTTACTGTGTAATTTTGAGCTCTGCTTTCATCACCACTTCTACTGTTGCTGTCATTAGAGCTGGACTGGTAGTGAAATAAAGATCTGAATCTAATAAAGACAGATGTTTAAATAGGCTAAGGAATAGGATTGACCTTCTCCTTTTCCCTTTGAAAGCGTGGGGCAAAAAGTGGCTAAACTTTTTAGAAGATGGGATACTCTTAGTTTTCCTAGTCCAACAGCTTGATTCTGCTGCACAAGTGCACAGCTGAGCACCACTTTACAGATGATTATCTTGGTGTTTCTGTATTAATGATTGAATAGTGAGAGCTGAAATGTTTGTGCTTTTAGACTGTATTGTTTCCCCTTGGAGATAAATGGGGTATTTCACACTTCTTGAGCTCAGTTTCAAGGACTCTGCTGAGCTGTGTGCCTGAATTGACTTACTCTTGAATTTAGTTCTTACAGTAAAGGTTTTTTCCACAACTTACAGAAAGAAACGTAACTTAAAAAATTTACACTTAAACTGGTAGTGGATTGCAGACTTCAGTGTGTGCATGTGAAATTCTGTAAGAAGTGTCTGACAGTGGCAAGACATTGATAGTGCTGGTAAAACTTCTATTAGTACATTAGGCATAGATGAGCCTATCACACTTTCAATACCCTACATGTTGTGAAAAATCATAATGGCTTTGAAATGGAAAGATTGCCTTTCACTACAAGCACTTAAATCTGTCAGCTCACATCTTAAGACCAGGTCTGCGGTGCAAAATATTCCTACACTGTGTGGATGCAATTTACAGAGATTGTAAATGGTCTCAATGCCAAGTGAAACAAGGTTTATTGAGAAAAGCACAGCTGGCAAGGGTTTACTCCAGGTCTTTTAGTTCTACAGCAAAGCTGGTTGTGTTAGGCATTGCCACTAGGCCACCAAAAATAAGTAATTAAGATTTAGGCCTGGTCTGAACTAGAAAAGGTTTGCTAATATATCTGTACAGGTGTATTTATACTGGCTCCCTCTTGCTGCATTTGTAGTTTATAAGTATGTACTGGCAAAAGCCCTCTGCCAGAATCACTCTCTCATAGTAAGCTTTTGTTTGTTCATAAAAATATAAAAAAGAGCCCCAAAGTCTTGGTTATTCTCTAGATCAGTGGTTCTCAATTTATTTGCCATAGTGGGCCACACTTGCAGCTCTTGATGTGTTATGTGGGCTGTGCCCATGCAATTTACTTCCAGTGTATCAATTAACAGGGTGTCACATGGGCCATAGCAGTGTGCTGATTGGGCTGTATGTGGCCTGTGCGCCATGGGTTGAGAACCCCTGCTTTAGATGATGGCAAAATAAATGTTATTAGGTACAGTTTTTATCCCAGACTCTCATATGGCTGTGGTTCTGCAACCCATACAGCCCAATTGCTTTTTGTAAGTATGTAGCTCATAATGGTTCTTTCAGATTGCTTTGTGTCATCTTACAGGTGAAGAACCTTCTATGTGATCATTTGTGCTCTTACTTAAATAGTAAGAGCAAAATTGTGTGGAATCAGAAATATGCATTTTGATCAAGGCTACACATTTGAGTTGATTACTTCAAGACAAGTAATGCAAATATTTGAACACTGCTGCATGGCCTTTGACACTCACTAAAGCTTTTAGGAATTTTGCTATCGTTTAAGTTTAACTTGTTTCATCCCCCAACCCTGCCAAATCGAGCAAATTTTTAATGGGATGAACTTATTAATGTAGTTGTCAAATTATTCTGTTGTAGCCTTGTACATTGATCTGGTTTTAAAATAAGATTTTTATTTTTTTTTGGTAGTTTGGAGCAGAATTTCGACGGTTTTCTCTGGAAAGATCAAAACCTGGAAAATTTGAAGAATTTTATGGATTATTGCAGCATGTTCACAAGATACCCAATGTTGAAGTTTTAGTTGGATATACAGATATTCATGGAGATCTGCTGCCTATCAATAATGATGACAATTATCATAAAGCAGTTTCCACAGCCAATCCTCTGCTCAGGATTTTCATTCAAAGGAAAGGTAAGTATAGTTATTTGTAAACACTGTGTAAAATAATAAGTTAAGCCCCATTTGTGTATGCATTCATACCCTGTTCCAATTCAAATTCCTAAAAGTCGCATGTTGGGAACGGTTCTGCTTCTTCATTATGATTTCCATAATGATCTAATTTTTCTTACTGATCTTTGTTCAGACTCCTACATGTTCTTTCCCACCACAGACTCCTCAGAAAACAGTCTGTGTTGTTGCACTTTTGTCGTCTAACTCAGCTACCAAACAACTTCTAAAGAAATACAGAGAGGTGTAAATGTCTGTAATAACTTTGATTTAAGCCCATTGCTTCCTACCAAAATAAATGTTGGCCATTCCTTGAACAGGGGCAGGAGTAGGGATATACCTGCTTTCAGCTTTAATTTTTTTTCCATAAATAAGTATGGTTAATTATTAGCTAAACTGGATGAAGACATTAAAACTGGAACAGCATTCCCTAGTATGTGACCCCTTTTTTACCAAGACTTTTATTAAAACAGATTAAAATGTTTAAAAAATATTCAAAGTCAGAGATGCTTGGGCCTGCTTTGCTTCACACACAAAGCTTTAACTGTACTATGCATTCAGCAGATCCTAATTAAATAATAGGAAATTAATGAGCTTCAGAAGAACTTGGTTTGAATGCCTTTTTTGAATTATCAGTATAGCTTAGACTAATGATATCAACTGCTTCATTTATCTCATGCTTCCAAAAACATTTGGTTGGTTGGTTGGTTTTTTTTGGTTTTTTTTTTAATTTTCAGCATGGTACAGTTCTGTTAGAGTTCAGATGCAATTACTAGTCAGTGTGGGAATTTTTCTTCTCTTCTTTTCCAAGCAACTTTCATTGAAATCCATCTCTAAGATCCTTTTTCATTAAGGAAAACTGATTATGATCTTGGTCGGGTTTTTTTGTCTTGTGTAATATAGTCTACATTTCTTTTCAAAAACTTGAAAATGACAAGAACCAAGAGTCTAATTATAGTATTCTAGTTGGTTTCTCTGGATTCACAGACAACTCATGATTTCTCTTAACACAGGAATATGTAAATTTGTGCAAAACACAGTTTTCCTATATTACAGCAACAAGATGACTGTGTAGTTGAGCTCTGAATAACAAATTAATTGCAACTTGCTGTATTAAAAATTGAGCGTTGCTGTTTCTTGTTGCTACTGGTTTAAACATCAACAGAATTGATTACTTTTGAGCTGGGAACTTCATCTAGGATCGAAATCATCTGTTTCTTCTGAGTCTTTTAAAAGCCCATCTTTTTCTTGAAACGTAAGTTTTCAAACAAAACACTTGATAACATTTGGTAGTTAGTGATGTTGCCATGATAGCCCAGGAATTACACAAGAGGCAAGAATTTTTTTGGGGGGTGATAACTTTTATTGGACCCAGGGCACTAATAACCTCTTGTAATTCATCTTCTTCATCTCCTTCTACGACCAGGTCTCTTGCCACCTGGACGTGGGACACGAGGTAGCCGTTATCTACCTAGACTTCCAAAAGGCTTTTGATCTAGTATCCCACGATATCCTTGTGGGAAAACTGCAAGATTGTGGGCTCAGCTGCTCGATGGTTCAGTGATTGGAAACTGGCTACAGGGTGGGACCCAGAGAGTTCTCATGAACAGATCTGTGTCATCCTAGCACAAAGTGGCCAGTGGTGTCCATCAGGGGTCTGTGCTTGGACTAGTGCTTTTCAACATCTTTATCAATGATTTGGATGGAGGAGTGAAAAGCTCACTGTCCAAGTTTGCTGATGACACCAAGTTATGGGGCAGTGTGGCCATGCCAGAAGATGGGTTGCTGATACAGGTGGACCTGGACAGGCTAGAGAGTTGGGCAGACCGGAACCAGGTGAAGTTTAACATTTCCAAATGTAAGGTGCTCCATCTGGGGGCAAATAACCCTCAACATACAGGCACGGAGGTGACAGCCTGACCTGTGCCACAGCTGGAAGGGACCTAGGGGTAATAAGGGTTGACCACCGCATGAACATGAGCTGTCAGTGCGATTCAATGGCCACCAAGGCAAACAACATGCTGGCATGCATCAACTGATGCATCTTGTGTAAAACTAAAGAAATGATGCTCCCTCTGTACTCGGCGCTGGTGAGACTACAGTTGGAGTACTGCGTCCAGTTCTTGGCATCGCATTACAATAAGGACTTAGAAAAACTTGAGAGGGTCCAGAGAAGAGCCACCCATGTGATCAGGGACTTGCAAGGCAAGCCATATGAGGAAAGGCTGAGGGACCTGGGCCTCTTTAGCCTAAAGAAGAGAAGGTTGAGAGGGGACTTGATGGCGGTTTACCGCTATATCAGAGGAGTGGATCAGGAGCTTGGTGGACAACTGTTCACTAGGGCACCCCTGGGGAAGACCAGGACCAATGGATACAAACTCCTGGAAAGCCACTTTAGGCTTAATACCAGGAAAAACTCCTTCAAGTCAGTGTGTCCAGACTGTGGAATAAGCTGTCTCCAGAGGTGGTGCAGTCACCTACCCTGGAGGTTTTCAAGAGGAGACTGGACAGTCACCTCACTGGGGTCAGTTGTCTTCCTGCCTAGAGCGGTGGGGCTGGACCCAATGATCTGCAGGGTTCCTTCCAGCCCCTAACAATCTATAAATAATGTCTGGACCTCTGTCAGGTATAGAATTTCCAGCAAGATGTATTTGCTATTTTTTTGTTGTACAGGGAACAGGTACGTACTTTATATTTCAACCCTGAATTGGCAGAGATGGACTAGATGATCTAATGCATTTCTTCCATCTCTGGAGTCTGATTCTATTTAATCCCCTCCAGTAGCCATATGACGAGAGTAGTTAAGCTACTTTGTCAGACTAGGATTATTGAGGTTATGTTTTAGCACCATATGTTTTACTATGTTACTAGAGTTCTACATATAACTCATTACACATGCATTCAAGGTAAAGTTATTAACTTGGGCCGTAGAGCAGTTTGTTTTGTACACTGACCAATTCTAATACAAGTCACTCCATTTAGTGGTCAGTAAGAAAGTGTGGCAATCAGTCACTTTTTTCCCCCCTCCTCTCTTTGATACCAAACATATTTTTTGTGACTGTCTTTGAGCTGAGAGCTCTAAGGAATAAAGAGCATAAACCCAGGTTATATAAAGTCTGAAAGCTGAAACTTACTATTTATATCATACAGGTTGTACTCACTTTGAAATACATACTGATAATCAAAATTTCTTTATCAGCGGATGTGAAACCTCAAGTTTTATTATATAAAGTAAATTGAAATAAACTCATTCTATTTTATTTCTTTAGTAAGTCCATTATGGAAGAGTTATGTAGTAACTCAAGCCAAGTTATTGAGTTGAAAACTAGTAATAAATTTATGTAATAATCTGATTGTTCAGGTGGATGCAATTGCAGCTCTTCATGTCTTATTGTTTGATTGCATAGTCTTTTTATATTATATACCTGAGTGCAGATGAAAATCAGGTATGCCTGAAGAAATATCAACCTCTGATAAGGCATCTATGTCACCTTCCAGGTTCAATCTCTATCTCTTTCAGAACTGGAATTTTTCAAGCTGATAAACAAATACTACTTTTTCCTATTTTTTTTGTAGCTTTTAACATACCCTTTTATATTGCTAGAGACTTTTTCTATAGAATTTTTTTTTCCAGTGGGAGAGTTTTCCCCCCAAGCTAATTCCACCAGGGAAACATTAGGACCCTTAGTTAATGGAAAAGGAAAAAGTGCTGGTCTAACAGGTATGCGAGGGTGCCTATACATGTGCATGGAGGCTGCTCCAATGCGTTGCAATTACAGCACGTCAGACCAGACTCAATTTAATTGAGTCTGCTGGAGTGTGATGATTACCACGCTGCAACAGATGCCAGCGTCACAGGCATCAGCATGCCCACACTGAAAAATGGTGGTACAAATGCCTAAAATGTCTAATTTATGTGTTAATTAGACTGTCTTGCCTTTGCTAGACTTTTTCCATAAGTTTAATGGGTTGTGGACCCTGTGCTTCCTTTTCTGATTATATCAACCTGCTAACTTGTAAATACTTAGAAGCCTTCACTCCAGCCACTTGCCTCCACCACCCCTTTCCCCCGCACACCCTTAGAGATGGCTCTGGATATATCACTCTAGAGCAATTGTCTATTTATTATCAAAGGAATTTTAGGATGGAATTCAAATAGACAAGTATCGTTTTGGAAGAGGTGAAAGGAAATTTAAAGACTAAGGTGGTGCAGTTTTAATTAAAACTAGATGTATGAGACTCTCTGTCTGCAACAGAAATCTGACCTAAGGATAAAACTATTTTTGAAACAACTGTGAAGTTCATGCATGCAGTGAAGACTAGCTGGATATGCTTTTTTGTCCCTTCTCAATGAAACTGAGATTTGGGGAAACATAATTTCTTGCAACGTAAGACTAAGCCACAGACTTCGCTTTACCTTTTATTTCTCTACAGGCTTATGGGATTCATTCTTCTGTTCTTACTAATGTAGATTTTTTGCTACATTACAATTTCTAGCCTTTTTGTTCGATGAGACAGGGCTTCCACTTTCCCTGGAATGGCTGTTCTATATCATAGTAGATGTAGCCTACAGTTATGCTGGATGTACGTTTACAGGTGCAATAAATCTTTGTGCTTCAAGACAGATTGGTACCTACTTAATATTAAAGAACAAATCACTCTAGAGCATAGTAAGGCTGTATTATTTAAATCCACTTTCATTATGTAACCAGCTTTAAGTACCTTGCTTCTTGCCTGTACAAAGAAGCTTGAGGTTAGAGTAACTTGTGGCTATGTTGTGAATGAGAGTGGTAGAGGGTGTACAAGAACAACGTTTACCAGAACTGCTTTTCATTTTGAGAATTGTCAATTGCCAACATTTTGGAAGTGTCAGCAATGTGTTAGCATTTCACTGAACCACAATGAAACTAATATTGGTCCCACTCAGTAGCTGGTAGGAAGTAAGGAGAGTTAAATTTTAACCT